TTAACTCATTATATTTGCAATGTAGGGCAATTTTAAATAACTTTAAATTTAAATAGCCTTATGGTACTATTAATCTAAAGTAAACTGTGTCATTTCGGACATTTACCTCCGATAAATTTACTTGGTGCATGTCATACAAGTGATTAAAGTCTTGAACTTTACGTCGTACGAGTTGTTTTCTGGGTAGGTTACTTTCATAAATGTTAATTTGCTACTACGCAATATAATAGAGATATTTGTAACGTATTTTTGTAAATATTGCGGTATCTAAGATTCGTTAAGATTATAACACCCATTCAAAAAACTGGCTTTGTGTAGGAAAATAAATGTCCCTGGCAAAGGAGGAAAAGGTGTTCTTTTATTTCAGAGAAAGTAAAATTAAATGAAGTTACCTTTGACCTATTTCAAAATATGATATTATGACTTGTTTTGTCAGTTTTACTTACTTGAACTGCGAATAGTCCTCTGCGTCCTTGTGAGGCTCGCCCTAACCGGCCAAACTATTTCTTTGTGCCTGATCCCATAGTTTTCAAATTAAATTAAAGGAGTTTGCGGAGGCAATATGAATACGCATTGACCGCAGGACTTAACTTTAAGGTTAAGGGATGAGCGTGTAAGGCTAATTATTTAACGAAGATTAAGTACGTAGCAAAACTTCAACTAACTAATCTAATAAGCAGAAATTTGTAAGTAGTTTATGGTTAACAACGACGATGGGTACCTAATCACGTTATTCGCAAGGTTTCAACGGCTTCAATCGTCACTATATTTAGTAGGAGATTTGTGTGTTAGGTATTATTAGAAATGCGGTACAAGGCAAGTAAAATCACGTATTTATTTGATCAGTACTGCGAACGAACCGAATTAAACGGTGCGCACTCACTTCACCCGCGCGCTCATTGATTTTATTCCGCTATCAATAATGACGTTACCACCCGATCGAATAATTTATTCACAGTATTTAACATCGATTAATAAATTGATGACAGTGTATACGCGGACGTAACTTAATTTATAGATGCAATATATACTTAATGTCCACATAAGTATCACGAGTATCGAGAGTAGTGTCGGTTTCACACTATTGCATGTAGGTAACCTCTCGATATTATTATCGCCCATTATTTCCAAGTTAATGAGGCCTCCTACCGATACTAATGATAGCTGCATCTATTAACGTCTTAGTATTATATTACTGGAGATATCAATTAAATAATTTGATCAAAATAATATACCATCTGGTGTTGAAGAAACTTTTTAGTTTCTTAGACAAGTTAAAAGATTTCTATTTACCTTAAGTTAGTTGCTTGGTTTGTCTTATCTCAACTTCGCATCATAACCTTCTAATCAAACCATGATAGCAGTACTATTATGATTCGTCCAATTCAATCTACTTATCACTTATTCGAAACTTCTACATCTCGAAGGTTCAAAGTCCCGTCCAAGTCCGGGATCTCGCCGGGACTTAGTAGTTGTAACAAATGGAAACTGTAAGAGTTGCCCGGGACTTATTTACCGACACCACCGCAGCATAAATACACGAAAGGATTAAAGTATTCAGTAAAGTAGGAAATATGGCAGGATGGACTTTCTGTTCGGTACGTACGGTTTGTTGTGTACGTATTCGGTATCTATCTTTCTAGTATCTATTGCATTTTGCCTGCTCAGTAAACAATGACCTCGCAACCATAAGCAATTTCAACACGATAAATTCGAAGTAGATGAAAAAATCACATAGGTACCTCTGCCTAAGCTGTAAAAAGCTTCCTTTCTGTTAAAGTAAACAAAATCTGGTCTTCACAAGCAATGCGGTTTGAACACCATTTCTTATACAAAGTAGATGACTGATTGAAATAAGTATTTCAATATAATAAGTTAGTTTTTATTTAACTCGTCGAGTACCGGTTTTGTAGACACAATTATAGAACAATAGGTTGCGGTCACCGGTGACCGCTTGGTGTTTGACAGTTTAATACAATATCAATAACATATTAATTTATTGAAATCGACGAACTATGGAATCGAGTAATTAATTAAAATATGGGATGGGTGACACTGACATCTGACAAATATTTTGACAATAACGTTAACTGACATTACTGACAGTTGACACTCTATAGTTGTGTTTTGTGTTGCCAACCAACAATTAATTTTGTTTGGAATTGATACTGTTTTTTAAGCTTTACCAAATATTACTGAATTTAAATAAAAGTAACTAACTATCGTTTTTATATTCAGTCTTTCTGTTGAAGTACCGCTTTAATTTAATTGATAACGGACTTTCAAATGTTCCTTTTCTACAATAACATCATTCGCCATGTTTTCATCCTACAACGACAGTTCATAACAAAAGCTGGTTCGTTTCGTACACGAAGTGAACGCCACGTTGAAATGTTCCAAACTTGTATTTGTGAGTACCCGCCCTAACGTTATGTATTTCGTATTGGTCAGATGTTAAGATAAAATTCACGTTTCAATATGTGCCGAGCTTTAAATATATTTGAAAAGTTTTACGACAGTATTGCTGTTTTGTCACAGAAATGTTAGCGAAACTGAGAATATAGATCACATTCGAATGAATGAAAAGTTTTTGTTGTTGCCGTTGATTTTATTACTATAGATTTCGTGTTAAACTCGATTTGTAAGTTTCAGAAATAAATTGAACCAAACGGAAATGAAACGATATTTTATCCTGGTAGTCTTATTTAAAATATTAGCTTGTCTCGCTACGAGCGGAGATTCGTTAAATAAGATCTGTTGTAAAGTCTAATTACCTTATTTAAAATACTCATTGACTAGTTAAAGACGAGTCACGAACACCGTCGTATCTCTTTATAAATGCTGGTGCACTCAATCTTTTTTTGTTCCTTTCCAATCGTTTTGCTCTCAATTGTGTCATATTTCTAGGTATCGGCAATCTATACCTGTCTGAATTGAAGTGTCGATGTCGTATAGCGCAAAAAATATATCGATAACCTATCACATTACTGTTACTTTTAAAATTGATTTAATAATGTTGAATTACTAAGCAGAATAAATGCTGTATTTGGATTCGTTCTTTTTGATTGTTGTAAATTCCCAGACAATTTATTTCTGTAAGGTTAAGTAATGAGTTTTATATAAACAACGTTGATAGTTCACATGTTTAGAGGTGCACAATTGAGTAATTTTGCGGTTTTAAGGTCACTGTAATGGTCAAAAGATATATTACGGCAGTTTAAACTGCCGTAATGTCTTTGTTACTTTGTCATTTTGATAAAAAACACTACAACCAAAAGTTCTATATAATTTCATACATCTGTTCGACATGCCTGGCTAACTGACTCTTAAAGTCAGTAAGATTTAAAATTCCGGGATTTCGACTTTAAAAAAGGAGGTTAAATAGAATGATTTGTAATGATTAATCGTGACTGAAGTTACGTAACAATAATAATGGTACCAAAAGCATGTTACTAACGCAACCAGAACGCATTAAAAACTCGGTTCAGTTCAGAATGGTCTGCGTACATCAGTATAATTTAGGAGTTAGTTATATGGTATGATCGCTTTTGTGAAGTACGGAGTTTTTTCTACGCTTGGTTTAGTCACGGACTTGGGGCAAAAAGCAGCCTTGGCTAGCGTAATGGTCTTACACGTGATTGCTACATATTAAGACTGCGTCCGGCTTAACAAAGCTGTTTGAGGACAAAAATAATGATTTCTTTTTTGTTTATTTATGCTCAAGTCCAAGAATAATGTTGTATTACTAATGTAGGTTGGTTTTAACTGAATTTTCTTTGTTGGTTTTTAATTTTGTTGTTACGATTAGTTTAATCTTTGTCTAGTAGAATGACTGGTTCTATTTTACTGTAATACGTAATATACAGTAAGCCATTATTCTGATATCACCAGTCTAGTCTGTAATTTAGACGATTCTAGATGTTTATTGCGATGACTAACCGTTTAATGGTTGACTACGGCCCACATAATTGCAATCGCCTCTGTTTGACATAAAAATATATATTTTTATACGACGCAAATTGTGTCGTAAACCCTTATGTTTAGGTTTAGATTTATTTGCCTCATTTTTGATTGTGATTTTGTTGAATAATGGGTCATATCAAAGTTATTTATGGATATTTTTTATTTAACACGTATTCATATGTAGTTAAGTATTTTATAATACATGAGAGTAGAATGAAGGCAATAACTAAATTATTAATATTTACATTCCTAGCGATAATAATTTTTTCGAAACCAAATTAAAAAACCTCCCGACCTACCTTCATTTCGCCTTGACCTGTGAACATCTTTATTTAAATATACTAAATTTAAAGCGAACGAAATCATAGACCTAGTTGACTATTTTTTGCTCCCATAATCATAAATTAACTCGGGAAATATTTTCGTTATACAAAAATAATACAACGTTCTCTCGTCTTCTCTCGAACAGACATAAGTATTGGCTTTGCCTTACATTCGGTTGGAAGTACTGAAAGGTCTAAAAAGTCATTCATTAACGTTATTGTTGTAGAAATGACCGAACAAAGCCGTTCCCAATTGCTGTACACACCTTTACGACTATTTACGACTTTGTTACTATGTGTTCATTTTATTGAAATAGTTCATGCGACCTTTGCTTTGCAATTACGAAAATACTCATAAAGCTTTCTCAACGTTTCTTTCAGTTCAGTACTTAAAGTACTTATCATTATTTGCTTCAAGTGTAGGATGGAAATAAGTACCCAATTTGAAAGCAAAATATAAGCTCTCCTTTGTAAGTAATGAGGATGTGTGATACAAATTCCTTTTTCGATGGCACTCATTGATTTGTCAGGACCGTGTATTTGAGCAGATTGTCCTAATTGGAGCTTGTTACGAAAATATAAAGCTGTATTATTGAAATTGTATAGAATGTGTATTACGCATACGTTGCATCATTGCCTTCACAATTGAATATTTATTATTTCCCAATTAATTGTTTTGAACAGTTACGTTAAACACGTTTTCTTTGTTTTCAGGAGTGGTTTACAAGCAGAGGATCAACTTATTCGAATAAAAACAAAAGTGCTACGGCGCTAATATAAAAACATTCGCGTATAGCAATTGTTTAAGAATCTAAATTGATCAGTCAATTAATATCGTGTCGAACAACGAGCGTAGAGCTGCGCCGTTGTCAACACGTTGACATCGAGTCCGCGACGCGTCGCGCGCGGTCCTTAACCTGTCGCTGCAATAGTCGGTGCTCGCCAGAGTCACGTGACTCGGCCGGCCCGCCCAGCCACAGCCGTGGATAACCTCGGCCAGAGCCCCCTTCCGGTGAAGAGGCTGCACGAAGCGCTGCAGAGTGCGCAAGTGAAGCGCCAGCGGCTTTCCCCCCCGTACCCCGCACCCCCCGCCTCTCTCCACCCCATCCACCAGCTCGCGGTGCACCAGCATATCAAAGTGCAGCAGAGCATAGTGCAGCAGAGCATCGTGCAGCAGCATCAGTTGAACCTGGCCCACCAGTCGCTGCAGAACCTGCAAGCGCAACAGAACCTGCAAGCTCAGCAGAGCTTACAGGCAGCCCAGAGCCTCCAGGCGGCTCAGAGTCTGCAGGCGGCGCAAAGCCCTGCAGCAACGGGTGGCGCAGGCGCGCAGCAGGCGGCAGGAGCGACACAAGGCGCGCTGGTGCCGCCGCAGCAGCCTTCGCCCCGGCCCGCTTCGCCGCAACACAAGAACATGGAGCTCGCGCTCTGTCAAAGCATGGACTCCGTCAACACCGCCACCACTGAGGAAGAGGTAAGTCCTTTCTAATCCATAAAACCAATTATTCCATTCGAATTTATTAACTGTTATTAGAAAAAATGGCAAGTTTAATTAATTACAGTCAATTGTTGCGAATGAATCCCTAATCCGGACCCTTTCTACCTTTCATTTTCACGGTTCCCGCAAATTAACAATGGCGTCTAGGCCAAATTCCCCTTTCGAAGAGGACTTAATGTATCGTTTCGCATTGACTATTTGTCATCTTACAATTGTAAAGTAATGCCGAAGAGGTGCGGCTCCGTGGCTGTGACAATGGGGAAAACGTTCGGATATACAATAAGCATTCGCTAACACAATAAAAGGGAGTTCCTAGCGACAAAAGCGGCATCGACTCGTAAGATTTTATTGCTCTCACTTATCATTACATTTTAGTCCTTATTAGTAAAGAGTTAAAGATTCTATTTTTGATGCGAGCTGCGCCATATTAATGTTTTAATCAAAACTGCGTATTTTCTTGGGGCTCCGGATTTCAATGACACGAATCAAAATGTTTTCGTCAGTTTATTCATTTTATAGATTGTACAAAAAATGTCTCTGCAAATATTCGATAAAAAATTAACGCACGTTTAAAAGTTACATACTTTTAGTAAGAATGTAGTTAATTAAAGATTGCACAAGGTTCAATCTTGTTGAAGTGAAGCTCGGATGTTTCTAAACCATAATGTGAACGAAAAACAAAGTAACAAGCGCAACCCTAGAGAAAAAGCGATAAAATCCTTAACGCAAACTAGGAGGAGGCGACGCGACGAGAGAAGTGGCCAGCGGTTGTGTTAGCCGAGACAAATAGAGTAGATGTCGCTTCACCGCTTTCAGCCGCTTTCCTGAACGGACAGCTTTATAAATAGCTTGTTTTATTGTTACATTATCTTGTCTTTTAGATCCTATGCATTAAAGCATGGACGCTAATCTCCAGTATAAGCAAGACAAATCAATGTTACTAAGCTTGTAGGAATTTTGCTCACAAAATTCAAATAATTGTAGCGAATTTTAGTAAGTCATACAGTAGTAAGATAATTTCTGTAATAGCAATAGTACTCAGAACGAAGCAATATGACATTTCTGTGTTCCAGATGCACCAATGTTTAGATTCCGTTGTATAATTTTATACCTGGCAAAAATAACTAAATGGTCCGTACGACATTCTTAGGAGTATGAGTCGAAATGAGTGACTATGTATAATATCAATGCAAACATTTATTTCGAGTTGTTTAATGTTAGTTGGTCCCGCGAATGTGTTACGTTATTGCTTTTTATAATTACACGCTTTAAAATGTTCAGAACATGCATTTTCACTCGTGTTTTATGATGCTGATGGTCGTAAATCATGTCAAAATTATTAGAATTCTCGGATTTCCATTCATTTTCCTAAATTTCCAATAATAGCATAAAACCAGCTTTTTAACTGGAACTACGGCAAACTTGACTAACGTAGTTAAAAGTTCAACCTTTGTTCAGCACTTTTCGTGTAAATCCTTTTCATAATGAATCCGCCAAATAAATACTGTTGTCGGCGTCCAGTTTCCATTGTTTGGCAACTTAGTGTTGATTTCCCACTTCGCTTTGATGTGAGTCGGGTCGGCGGAGCGTAGAGGTTGGTTTATGAACAGGGACCTTTGCTTACATAGCGTGGATGCATTCATTCATGCGGTTTAGTATTGCTCCCGCGGAGTTACTACAGACAAACATACAAAGAGTACTAAATGGCAACATCGTTTCTTTTTAGTTTTTAATGGATTCAATATTGAACTGTATTTCGTACTGAAATTGTACAACGATTGTCATTCACAAAAGTCGTATCAGAGTATTTTTCTAGACCAAATATTTTGTCCTCTGTAGAGCATAATTAAATTACTTATTTGTTACTGAATAATATTACATCTGAAATATTGTTTTTCTCGTTGTTCACTTGTCGTGTAAGTCATAAAATCGCAATCGAGTTTTGACGCCGTTTCGTGTGTAATCTCGAGGGGTTCCCGGGAACAAGGGGCAGTGGAGTGCGTTTGTCTCGTGGCGCATGGCGGCAGACAGTGAAACGAAGCAACGGCGCCGTCGGGTCTGTCGACAGTCACGACCATCTATTTTTGTTTAACAATTGCGCGTAATAAAATTTTATCTGACGATTTTTAATACCAAATAGAGTGTAATGAGATCCTGTGATACAATGTATTAATCTATCACATCTATTAGTCTTTTTTAGTTTACAAAAAGAAGAATGAAGATTATCTACATCGTCTACGCCCGCGTAGACTGTTCATGGGTCATTTGATTTGAGTCGAATGGTCAATAAAACTACACATAAACCAGTACTTTGTATTGTAAAGGTTTCTATCACTTGTGAACTTCAAACAGATCACTGTACGGACGACATCCCATAAAATCTTTGTTGGTGACTAGAACACTTATTGACTCGTATTTTGTAAGCATGATGAATGCATCGATCGTTTTCGCATTGTATCCGGAACGATCATGTGACAAGTCGAGTGATACGTCGGCTGCCGGCCCTCACAGACAACATCGCTACGGCTTCCTGAAACCTGTAACTACTTTTTGTTCAACGGTTCGTTCACATTTTGTCCGCTAAAGTTAAGCGACGCCACGACTTCCTCGAACAAAACGTAGCCATAATATTTACAAATGTTAATGTACGTAAATATTTTGTATGTTTTGATGTCAATTGTTGTAGCACGTTGTTGTTTAGTCGAGAAGATACCATGTTCATGTATTTTCAAAGTACTCTTCATAATATGTGTAAGATAATTTTATAGTTCATAATCTTCATAAACTCTCAGATTGTGGATTTCAATCTAGGTAAGCATTTTCCGCGAAGTGCCAACTCCATAACAATAAATTTAATGAAAGGACACTCATAAACATTATTGTAGGCGACTATTTGTATTTTCCGTCGGCCGCGTCCGAGGAAAACAAAGCGACTTTTTCATTCCCGTAATATCTTTCTTCGACAGTGGTCAAAGAGACTCGGTTTCTTTTAAATAATTGGGTAATTTCGATCTTGAGGCGTCAATTGGTCTCCAATTTAAAACTTTGTAGAAAAGATTTCCAATTTGTAAAATGTTTTGTTTCGATAAAGTTTGTAGAGCATTTTCTTCTTATAATTTTTTGTTTTCTAGTTTTGCGAGAACCGTTGTTGTTAGCTAAAGAGAAGTCGGTTAATTAGATTTATCAAAATCTTTTCCAGAATAAAACAAATGTACCTACCGTTTTAAGAATTCAAATAGCAGTCTGTTAGCCTTCATTTCTATGCTGAATATCGTGTTACACATGAACCCCACTTACCAATTCGTTCGTGAGTGGTTTAGAAACGTTGCTTGCTTCGATCGCAGACCAATGTTTTAGTAATCTGAATCGCTAATGGCTCCAATTTCTTCTAAAGTGTATTACATAAATTTTCAACTTTGTTATTGCACAGTTCCGATGAAACTACATTCACGCCTCGCCTATTCCCTGAATGCTCAATGAATTAGTCTCGTCTACCCTCAAACATCGGACAACACCCTCTTATCCCCTTTGTGTTTTCCGAAAACCTAAGTTACTTAAGTAAATTCAGATAGATAAATTATTGGAGATTTCCACAATAGACAGATTGTTCTAGTACTATTGTAAATTTCTTTCTTTCACAATGCCTACATGTAAGATTCAGTTTTAGCCATAAATCTTGAAAGTAGTTAAAGAGTTATAACCTTTTGTATTTGTTAATATCCGAAACAAACGTTGATAACTTAGCACATATTGACAAAATCCGATAACTTGTCGATACTTAAACTGGAAATAAACAAGTAATAAAGATAAATTTGAAAAGTCGAAACGAACGGAAATTCATATAGACGATATCGCTTTCGTTCTTGAAAATCCTTTAAGTATCTGCCAATAATACGCAGATCGAGGGAACATCTCCATGGGAACTGAAGAGAAAATTATTACCTCGCTCGAGTTCAATCGCGGAGACATTCTCTCTGGAACGATTTTAAGAGAAGAATTTCCGCAGAGTGGAATATAGACACCTCGACCGTTTCAACAGTTTGTCCACCTAATTTGTTCGTCGGCGCTCGACTGTAAAAACAAATAGCTGCTCCCGCATTTCCCCTTACAAAACGATAAAGATAGATATATTCAACTAAACGGGAGAAAAGGAGGGATAGTTTTCGAAGGATTCCGTCCGCGGGTCGCTTCAATGAACGATTGCTGTTTACGTTCAAACTTTTCCTAGTTCAGTCGGGCGCTGCATGGAGTTTCTTTTGTCCATTAACAGAATAATAATTAATTGAGCTTTATCTAATGTTCGTAGGTTTGAGTACTCGCCGAAAACTTTTAATTGAATTTGTTGGTCGATTTTGGCTTTTTGACGGGAGCGTGTTACGGTTTTAAAACAATTTTTAGGTAATGCTTTGGGAAAGTTATTTAACCTGTTTGTGTAACTTCAGAGACCTGTCAAAGTTCTCGCTAAAATTGTTGGAACTTAGTTAATTTGAAATCTTTGATAATGAAGGTCACCGATAAATATGATTACGGAATATAATACCTAAGTCTGAATGAAATATTTGAAAAACACTTACGTGTTCATAAATAAAATGATGACGATGAAGTGATGACAGTAAATATATTTTGGACGTCTAAAATTAGTGAGGTACATTTTAACATAACTCGAACATTAAGACGTGACAGCTGTAATCGCTGCAATAACTCAGTGATAACATTCGGAGACGACTACATGCACGACATCCCGGGCCTGTATAAATCAGAGCACATCAAGTAAGGTCAACTCCAGCTGAGTACACTGGACTGGTCACGCAAACAGAGACGTTGCACATTGAATAACTGTTTTCCAATGTGCTGAGCACAGCCTGTCTAACGCTTTTGCACCTCAGATTACCGCCGATCGTCCCCTGACCAAAGAGAACAAAAAGTTCTCGTTTGATGTTTTAAAGACTAAAAAGGAAATTTAATACTTGAGGGTT